TAAATTCCCCAAGTAGAAAGAAATGCTTTCCACGAAGCTGCTTATTCCTAGTAACCCACATCAGAGCTGACACATGAAAAATGGTGAAATTACTGAAGGTAGTCCAGCCTGAATAAGGACTACCTTATTAGTTCAGGTACTTGCATCTCCCTAATTTTCATATTAATCATGTGTCCATCTTTCTCTGAAATAGGGCCATCATGCTTCATGTCAGAATTTAGCATGTAAGTAAAATTCATAGTGCTTCAAATCTCACTTGAAAATATTTGTGTGGAGAGAGCAGAATGACTGATCTTATTATTATTAACAAAGTGAGATTCCCTAAAATGTTCATTTTTAGCCATGAAATAGGAAAATTGGTATCAAGACATTTATAAAATCAATGACGGTCACATATAGTCCCTACCCCCAAATCAACAATAATGCAGAGTTCCTGTTTCAGAGAGCCACTGCACACTGTAATGTGCCAATGTTATATATTTCTCATCAGTTTTTACAGTTTCCACTGATTAAATATATATTGACTCATAAAGCATTCCCAGCACATCAGTTGTCACCAGATGCAAGCATATGTCATTTAAGTATTAACTATCATATAAAAATGGCAGCTTTGGTTGTTTAGAAACCATAATCTGGTACCAGTCATTCCCAAATTTCCCTAATGCATTAGAAATCTCTCAGAATACAATGATCTCTGTACTAAGCTGCAGCCAAGAAAAAGGAAAATAACCATTTCTTTTCTTTGGTTAAATACTGCTGTATGTTTGCAGTAAATAATGGGTTTTTTGACACAGAAAAAAATGTGTCAGTGGATTAAAATTTTCCATATTACTAGAAGATGGAAGTTGAGGTTAGTTAAATAAGCTAAGCTCATCAGAAATATCCATTAAAAATTCAAATGAACATAAACTGCTCCTATATAAAACATATGCTGTCAATATCATCTATAAAAATGTGTACCGCATTTGCATCACATTCTTTCTAGATGCTGTACCCAGAATGCTGTTAGCTCACTCTTCTTTTTCATAAAGGACAATCACTAAATCCTAGCTGCAAAATACCTCCAACTGCTAATAGAACTGACTCACAACAAACAAGTCTGGAGATACTTAAAAACCACCTTGCTCTAGAAATAGAAAAAAATTAATAAAATACATGTTTTGTTAGGAGGAGAAGAGAAAATGCATTCTATATGTTAACTATCCTATCCGATGGTGTAGACATTGCCTCGACTATTAAAAGCTTCTAGTAACTGAGAGGTAATTGCTCCTTTGCTGACTATAGGGTTGTACAGCAGACAGAAGCTGTGAGAGAAGCCATCCTTCCTTGCTAATGTAACATGTAGAACTTGCTGCTACTGCAACACTTAATGCTCACAGTACCGAGTCATCTTTAATGCAAACACACATTCTCTGCCTTGCTTCTATGTTTTCCATTATAATGCAACACGAAAACAGTGTACATTTCATTCCATCCCTATGAGGTTTGCATAAGCAGTTCCAAGTCACACTAAATGCTATATTGCTCTTATTATAGTGGATAAATATTTTAAAGTTTAGGAATTAAATATTTTTTTTCAGTATGCTCTCTGCAACTATTATGAACTTCTTATAGCTTCCTCATTCATAGGAAATCTTTAGGGTTTCCTTTTTCAAATGTAAGACTATTATTGGTTTCCCCAAACAGAAGCAGATCAGAGTGAACAAATAAGCAGAATAAATCACTTTATACTTGGTGTTAATAAGAACAGTATGCTTCTTCATAAAAAGAGACTTTTCTACAAGGCATATATATTTTATTATAATAAAAGTTTGCTAACAACAAAATGAATCAAGTAAATGTTACATCTTTAAGTATACAATTTCTCTCTTCATTTTTATAATAGCACAGATTTTCTTGGCATACATCTCTTTACTTGACACAGGTATTTCTCACACTAAATTAGGACAACATATCCAAAGAAGAGCATGTCCTGAACTGTTCGGTTGAAATTTCCCACAAAATAAGAAACCAAGAAGTTGTTTACATGTTTGTTTCAAAAGAAGCAGACTAATTGCGTTAACTGATCTATTAATCTATGGGGTTCTTTGTCCAATTATTAAAAGAACAAACAGACTAGGGAGAAATTTAAATGTCGAATGCACCTCAAAATCTATTTTTTCAAAGGTTAATTATAATTCTAAGCAAAGCTACTCTAGAGAGGCCCCTTAGGTTTCATGCAGGTTAAAATAAAATAATAACAGTAACATTACCTCATTGGCCAGCTCCAGGAGCACTGGGGCAGCTCCATTTTTCCCCACTCCATCCAGGTACCTAGACAAGACAAAGCCAAGTGGTGATGCAGTGACAAGAAAAGGCCAGCATAGACTTGTCAGCATCCCCTGTGTGTACATGTTTCTCCTGGGCAAATGCCACGCTCAACTCTAGTTAAAGTATGCTACTGTCACAGGAAGGCATTGAAGGGAAAAGGATAACAAAACAACTGACCTCCAAACCACTGGCAATTAACCAAAGTTGGGGGCAGGAGGTCTGGGCATATCAGCCTCCCCTGTTCTCACTTCCCAACATGTAAAGTGAACCTAGAGGTGATTTGGGGGAAAAAAACAACAGCACCATGATCCCTATCATCCTGGCTTTATTATGAACTTCTTATAGCTTCTCACCACAACCATCTCACAGAAAGGAAATAAGTGCACTTATGATTTGAAAGAAGCATCCCTGGCCATGGCCAGTGTGGTCAGTGGTTAGAGCACTGGCCCTCACACCGAAGGGTGTAGGGTTTGATTCCTGGTAAAAGGCAGGTACCTGGGTTGCAGGTTTGATCCCCGGACCTGGTTGGGGTGCATGAGGAAGGCAATTGATCCATGCATCTCTTTCACCTCTCCCTCTCTTTCTCTCTCTCTCCCCCAGCTCCTTCCCTCCCTCCCTTCCACTTTCTAAAAATCAATGGAAAAAATATCCTTAAGTGAGGATTAACTAAACAAGAAAAGCATCCATGAACCCAGATCACCTTTTTATTTATTTTTGTTTCACAGGACTGGTTGACACCTTATTAGAAAAACTGGACCAGACTTGCCATCAGTGGGTCAGCACTCCTTTACCACGCAATACAAGCCATCATCTTACTGGCCCTGCATTTCTGTCATAGCCTCCAGCTCTCCTCACCCCTAAACCCATTAAAAACAAAAACAAACAAAAAACAACAACAACACACACACACACACACACACACACACACACACACAAACAACCCCTAAATCTATCCTCCACATGTGATTTTTTTTTAAAATAATAATTTGGATGTACCATTTTCCTCCTTAAAGCACTTCAAAGGCCCCACATTCAATCTCAAAATTAAATTATAACCACTTAACAAGTTCTTCTAAGGTTCTTCAAAGTCTGGTTCCCACCTATTCTATTTGGTCAGCCTCATTTCTGTTCCCCTCTCCAACTTTCACAAGGAGAACTCCTGATTCTTCTTATATGTCACCCACTTCAATCCACCACAACCCAAAAGTCAAGTGTCCCTCATGTACAATCGAGGAGCACCTTGTACACCTCTCCATCATTTAGCACAGCATATTGTATCTGCCAGTTACTTGTCTACATCAAACTCATCCTCCACTAGAAGGCTGAAAGCTCATGAAGCAGAGGAATTGTATGTCATTCAATTTATTAAGTCTAGCACAGTTCTTGGCTTATAATAGGTGATTATATTATACGTACAGATTTTTTTCTTTAATAAACAATTCTATATGTATATATATATATATATATACACACACACACACACACACATATGTATGTGTATATATATATATATATATATATATGTTTTCTTTTCTAAATTAAATGATTTTTACAGCCACATTGGGCAAGAAAATACAATTAAATATGGACATTTTCTGTATAGTGTACTGTTTAAGTGAATACTTGTTTGATAGTAAAAATCAAAGTCAACAGATGAGGTTTTACAAAAAATGCTAGAAGCAGATATTAAGTTACATTATTTCACAAGAATGCTTATAAAGATGTATAATTTTTCTATAAACCAAGTGGGGAAAAAAGCATATTTTTCAAGGTTGGGAAGTGTCAGGATCATTACAACTTCAAAGCAATTCTAACAAGTCCATTTTTAAATATATTAAAGCCTTTCTTGAATAAACAGTTTAGGAATATAACTGGGAAATAAGTACTTTCAGAATCAAGGGCAGGGAGGCACGTATGGTTTAAAGAATGGTCTCGGGGAAACAGGTCAGCTAGGAACCTCCCATCAGCTTACGGCATTCCCACTGTACTGACAGGCTGTGGCCAATCAGTTCAGCCAAGAAGACCAGCTCAACGTGTGCCATAACCACCAGAAGTGCACATTCATTAAGGGTTCAGATTCTGGGTCAGAGTCGTTAAGCCTGTACTGATACCAGGATATCTTTGTAACTTTCTACTCAACATTCATTTATCCCACAAAGATTGAGAGCTAACTACGCATGTGTTGGGCCTATTCTAGGTTATGAAGCAACAGCAGGGCACAAAACTCCCGTGGCTCCTGGCATCACATGGATTATATTCCAGTGGAGAGACAATGAAAATACAGAGACATAAGTACGTAATATAATGATATACACTACAACAAAATGATAAACACTACTTAGATGGGTGGGCCAGGAAGCCCATCTCGAAGGCAGTGGCACTGAGTAGAGACCTGCAAGAAGGAAGGTGGCGAGCCATGGGAGGAAGCCTGTGCCCGGCAAGAGAACAGTATGTGCAAATGTTGGGAATGTGCTGGGGTTGTTCAAAGACCAGGAAAGGCTCTAGTGTGACCAGAGCAGAGCTTGTGAGAGGAGACTGGAAATAACAAGAGAGAAGCTGGACCCCAGACCACTGCCTCTGCTAGAGAATTGTTTTGAGTCCAAATAACATGGTTTCATGTAAACACTGCATCAATCATTATCCTGGGAATGACCAATGGAACATTTCTATTAAGTTTACAGTAACACAAGATGGTCAAACAATCATAACTCTATTGATACAGTCTATATGATATTCGATGTATGTTCATATTTAATATAGTGGAAATTTCTAATTACGAGCTTAATAAAGCTTCCCAGTTGGTCACGTGGAGAAACCAAAGCCCAGGGTACTGATGAACGCTATCTGGGCTCTCTTAGCTGGAAGGCTGTGAAGTTTTGCAATGGAATCCTGATCAGCCATGGTCTACTGAGGTGCCTTCATATGCTTAAAAGGGTAGCACTGCTTCTGAATGTATTTATTCCCCAATCTATTTCCCAACTATATCCTGTAACACTTCAGAAAGTGCTAGGGGAAAGATGTTAAAATTAATTTGAAGTTTTATTTGTCCTTTCTGAGAACTTTGTCTCCCACATAAAGTGACAGATCATGTTTATGCATCTTTTAGATATGCAATCAAAGCGGCATGCTAAATACAGAAAATATTCAGTGAGGACCTAGTCAGATATTCCTAATGCTACTCTTCTCTTCATCCTCAAAGCATCCCATGTAAACTTACACCACAGGCTTTTCACATGGCTTCTTTCTCTCTCCAACTAGCCTGCAAGCACCTTGGGGTAGGGCTGCACAAATGAATGTTGAACCTTCATCCAACAGATCTTTAGCAAAGGTCTGAATTACACTTGGGATATAAGGATGTGATCCTGAACACTGCATCCAGGTGACCTGGGCTATCTTCCTCATGCCTATTTGCAAATAAAAACGACATTGCACAGAAGATGTCTGTCACCCTTTAGCTTTGCCACAGGAGAGCTAACAAGTAAATATCTTGTGGGTGACACCATCCTGAAAAGAGCTTCAGAGAAGGTCCATTTTATGTTTTTGAGTATGAAGGATATCTAAGCATCTAAGATTAAAATACTATATAAAATTTTAAATATAAGGCAAAGTTATTTGGTCTTTAAAATTTTCATAGCTATAATGGTGAAACGTAAAAAACCTATTAATTGAATGAATAAATACAGCTAATAAAGCTGGCACACAGACAGTGTGTGTTGGGAGTAGAAACGCAATGAAAGAGAATATTTCTAAACTTCCCTATTGATGGGGACTTGCATTTCTGACCAATTTGTGAGTGTGTCTGTGTGTGCGCACACATTTTGTCAAGCATGTTTCTCGCTTGGAAATAAAATGCCATTAGTACAGTGGGAAAGAATAGAATTGTTTTTCAAAATAAACACTCAAGCTGTGACTATACATACACAACCTGAAGAACAGAAGAAATTTCATCAATAATTCAAAAGTCTCAGAAAACATTTTCTACTGACACTGGGATACTGTGAAGTTTCAGTTAACCATGATGGAATCGCATTGTAGATTATGAAGTTTTAAATACAGACTTCGAATTCTGAATTGTGATCTTCTCAATGCTAGCAAGAAGGTGCAGACTCAGGAATTCTCTAAAATTGCTACCAGGAAACCATTGCAACCTTTCTAGACAATAATTTGGCAACATATAATAAAACCTTTAAATGCTTGTTGTCTGCACCAGTAATTACAGATATAGAAATACTAAGAAACTAATCCAAAAATACAAAGATCTATGCATCAAAATGTTTATCATAGTATTATTTATAATATCAGAGCATTGGAAACATGTATGTTCAACAGAGGAATAATTCAATAAATTATGATACTTTCATATGATGAAGTAATGCAATCAATAATACATTTACAAAAAGCTTTCTACAAAGTAATATTATGTCATATACATTTTCCAGGTGTAAAATTCAGGATTCACAATCACATATATAGTATGACCTCATCTAAGTAAAAAAGACTAGAATAAAAAATACCACCATGGCTATTATCTCTGGGTGCCACAATTATGGCCTATCATTCATTTCTTTTTTAAATCATCAAAAATGTGCTTAATTTTCACAGTAAGTGAGTATTGCTTTTATAAAAGCAAAAAATCTAAAGAAATGGTTAACATCATCAAACCGCTAAACTGTGTTTTGATAGAGTACAATTTGCCTTTCTCCTAATCAGTTGGAAAACAAAAATCTTTCAAGGCCAGTTTACCTTAGAGAACACAGGGCCATTAGACCCGCACGTTTAGAACCAAGGCCTGTAAGGTCAATACATCCGAGAGGTCACAACACGGCCTGCCTCCAAGCACAGTGCAGGGCAGACAGTCAGGGAGCAGCATGGGAAAGGGAGAAGCTAGTCAGACTGCTTTCCTATTGGTCTGTCTACTGCAGCCTGATTTCAAGTTTTTGTTTCAGATTTTGTGTCTCCTCGAAATCACTGAGATTCTCACATTTCAATAAATGTGAAGAAATACAAACATATTTCTGTATTCTCATTATTACCCACTCAACTGTTCTTTGAGTAACCATTCAAAAAGGAAATATTTTTATTTCTGGCCTAAACTACACAGATAATCCAATAAAGCATGTTCATAGTTTAATAATTAAGTATACTTCTTAATGAAACTAATATTTTAGAAGGCAGCTCTTAGAGATCTTGGAAATCATCTATTGAAACAGCCTTTTTACAATGAGAAGGCGGATTATCAGAGGGCAGACACACGGCCTCATGGTGGAGCCCCAAATTCCTAGGAAACACTCCATGTTCCTTCAGTTCAGTTAACAAAGGCTTTAGAATCTGAACATACTTTTTAATGATGGCCTAAGACTACAATTTTTACAAATAAGGATGTATTTTTCACACGTAAATAACTTTTCAGTCTTTCTTTGGAGGGTCTGAATACCAAAGCAATTGCTGGCTTCACAGGTTTTGAGCCATTCTTAATTTTATGTGTATGACTTAGGTTGTGACTTTAATTTAAATGTTATTTTCACTAAGGAGATTATGACTTTTGAGTAAATCAATTCAAACTTTGCAAAGATCGGTTTACAGAGGAATTCTCCTAGACACAAAATTTGTATGTATGTGTGTGTGTGGTCCCATATCTTTCTTTAACAGACACTACTACTGAAAACTGAATGAATATTTTATCACATACAGCATAGTGTATACTTTTTAAAAATTCTAACTTCAATAACTTTTCTCTCTAAAAACACTTATTGATTCTTAAAAAGCACGACACCAGTATTTTCTCTATATAGTAATTTCATTCATAAAATTTTCAGGCATAAAAATCATTCATCTAAAATTAGTACCACAGAAAGGTTGACCTGTCGATCTTAAGTGTAATAATTTAAGAGCATATTTCAAACAGTTTTCCTTTCCAATATGCCCTTAAAATATTAAAGAAACCAACAATTTCTAATGAAACCATTACCATTTACCATAATAAATTATTGTCATATTACAAAGCCAATAAAATTTTTAAAAGGAGCTATTTAAAATATTCTGTTTAGAATGGAATGTGAAAACTATTTATAGTAAATTAAGCCAAAACTACACATCCCATGGACACTATAATGTTGATTTAATGCTCAATATTTTCATTTTAAAATATAAAACCCCTTTTAAAATGTCACAGTAGTACATTATTATATATCTCTATATGTCCTTACTTAGTATATGTCTTTTTTTTTCTTGGAATCACTAACCCAAAACTGATGATGCAAAATACAACTGCACCAAAATTCAATCTTATTGTTTAATATATTGTCAACTTGCAGATCTAAAGAAGTAAATGAAAATTAGTTTGAGAACTTTCATACATACATGTAGATATATGTATATATGAACAGAGACCTATACAAGCCATGCACTTACAATAAGTTTCCAGTATTCAATTGAGATTTCAAAATATTGTAACAATTTCCTACATAGTATGTATATACACACTTGAGACAGTCTCACCATATTCTTTAAATCTATAAAACAGAGCATTTGAGAAATCCTTCAAAAATATATTTGAAGACTTAAATAACAGACTTAAAACACTTTCAAATGTTATATAGAAAATTAATTGAGTAATCTAATTTATTCATAATTATTATTACAATTGGTAGGTACTACGATACCCTCTAGTGGGGCAGGCAGGTCATACCTCTGGTAATAACTTTCAATTGCTTCCGAAGTATGATGTTTGGCATGGGTTCTTTTAATATGTTTCTGAAACAAAACAGAGAAGATTTTTATGGTGTGTCACATATGAAGTTCAAGTACAAAAATGACATATTTCTTCATCCCAACGTCTAACACAGAGGGCAAACTGAATAACAGCTTGGGGATTGTGGTGGTGGTGGTAGGTCATTTTTCCTTCTACTCCACGAACCCATGCATTTTAATCTCCATTGCTTGGCTGGGATGTCTTCAGACTGCACCACAAGGTACAGTATGTATGTAAAAGCCAACAGGGTCAGAGTAATTGAATCTAAATAAGTTTGCGTAGGGTGGCAGAGGGTAGAGAAAAACTTGTTCCCTTGAAAACCTTTGTATTAATTTTCCCTCAATTCAATTCCATCTAAGTCCTCTGCACTCTAGTTTTACAATCCAATTGCCATTTTTAACCAGGACGAACATTGCTTAAAAACAACTTATTTGAAAACTACAAAAAGTAATTCCATCGAGACTTGCCACTTGACTGACACCTGTCATCTCATGATAAATGACTCCATTTTCTGCCTCTCTTGCCTTCTGCCACTCCAGCAATGGTCATTTATCATCATCTCTGTCAGCAATGGAAAGCGGCACTGACAGTGCAAGTCAGCAAACATTTAGCACATGGAACCACGCAACACAGGGAAATTATTATTGTCAGAATAATAATGGTTTAGCATAATTTATTACAGGTCCACCAAATAAGCAAAGGCTAGATGTTATTAGACAGATGGATGGGTAGGCTTGGCAGGCCTCCACTGAGACGCAGGCGGTGCTTGATGTGGAAAGGAGAACATCCTCCAACCCAATCAGAGAGCTGGCAGTTCAATTACAAAGAAATAAAGGGACATTCATCATTCAATTAGGCACCTGTCAACCCTCACAAAGGAGAAAACTTCTAACCTGGTACTCCTGGGAGAAGATGCTCAGCAGAGTGGCCTGCGATTGACTGGAACAAATAAAAGAAGGACAAAGTTAATTACTGGAGTGCACGGCAAAGAAACAAAAGAGAAAGGAGCTTCAAAGGTAGGCCTGCTGCCCTGTAATCTAACAGAACATGAAAACAAGTGTGGAAAAGTTGTTCCAGATGAACACCTCAGACAAAGGCTTCCTGCTGCCGGGTCAAGGAGAGAGAAAACGGGAAAGGGGGAAACGTGACGGTCTCAAAGTCAAGTATCCTATGATGTGGATATTTTTTTAAACTTTAGAATGATTGTAAATCAAATCTGTAGCATGCAGACCAAAAGCAGGTTAAGTTTATTTCCATTAATAAACGAGAGAGTTAAGCCCCACAAACAATAGGAAATGTGCAGAGCATTTGTTGAAAACATTCTGAAATTTGTTTTGTTAGCAGACAGGTATCCTCTTCTGTAGCTATTTCAGACTCAGGGGGAAAAACTTTGGTCTTCATGAGAAGTAGCACAGACCATTGGAACACTCCCACTGATACCGGTGTGCTTTGAAAATAGAAGTTTTCATGGCAGGAAGCTGAGGTCCTTGAAGTGAGTCATTCCCAAAGACTGTCATACGCCTTCTGCACCTAGACCCCATGCGATGTCAGACACCTGCCAATGAAGCAACCTGGAAAACATTCTTCCCAAGTGGGAGTTTTTTCCTCTCACAATTGTTACCATTTAAAAATGGAATGGAATGTCTTTCTCTCTAAAAAAGCAATCAATGCCCCATTGCTACTCTTTTTGATTGCCCTCTGTAGGTATAGCCACCTATCATATCTTGAAAACAATGAATTATCTTTGAAATGTTTTCCTACTAAATGCTATCTGAACAAATTTCAGGGTTAATAATTTGACTTTTACAGTATGCCAAAGCACTGTGAATAAGTAATTTTTTTCCTATTCAAGAATGAAACCTCTTGAGCTCATCATAGGTAATTTGGGGAGTGTAAAAAAAAGAAACAAAACCGATGACAGCATATTGCTTTTTTCACCGTCTCATTTTTTATCATTTTCTGCATTCCTTCATAGATTTGGCTTCTAACCGCTTTCCACTCTTATCAGATTACAAAAAGTGGGTTGAAAATAAAACCATAAATGTTTACTAAAGAAAACTGGTAATTACTAAAGGATGGTTTCAATAACTCAAAAGTACTGAGGAATTAGTGAATACAATTACAAATTCATTATAGTCCAATTTTTTCAATTTCCCTTTAAAAATGGAAACCACCTTTGAAAAAGTCAACTTTATATATAAAATCTTATTATGCCTGGCTTGCCTGAGTTTTGCATGCAAATTATAAACCCTAGTAGGGTTGCTGACGACTACCTTCTAAAACAAATAGTAAAATTATACCCAAATCTTTGTAAGCCACTGAATGTTAATACACTAGATATTTTTGTGCAATAAATGGAACCTCTCCTCATTGTAAAGCAAAACATATTTATGTTAAAATAAATTTTTATGGTAGGCAGAATATCTGTCGCAATGTGTCAAAAATATGATGGAAAGAATATGCTTGTAATGCTCAAGTTGGGGACCAATGACTAAAGAGGAGGAAACTAAACTGTGAATAAATTTTAAAAATGTAACTGTAGCTGCCCAGAATGGTAAGGTCAGATGAGATAATGTCTTTAGCCAGAAAAATGTCTTTAAACAGCTTAGAATTCAACTAAAACCCTGGACAAAGACTAGGGAGCAACCCGTTCTCTCGATGGCCAAGAGGATTAGAGAGAAGGTCCCAGCTTAGCACACTGGGAGTAAACTCTGGTTAGACCTAAAATGAGAAAATGAGTTACTTCACATGGTAACAACAGACAGGCAGGCCTGGGTCCAAAATGCCTTGGGTTTGGTGGACTAGACAGAGCTGCAGAGAACTGCATGACCTCTGCAGTCATTGGCCAGCCTCGCCTCTGCTTCTGTATGTGCTAAGCTTAGAGAAGAGAGTTCTGAACAGCCTCACATATAAAGTAGGAAAGTAGTTTTAGTGCAACTAAGACCTTGACTCCAGGGTATATTATTTGCTTGTTTCTTCCAATGTGTTAATTCTGAGAAGGTCAATCTTGAATACCACAATCAGTCAGTCAGCAGTATTCACTAAGTATCCACAATGTCCTAAGGCCATGGGTATGGGGAACTAGGACATCAAAATAAATCATTAAATGAGGTGGACAGGAATTGACTTAGAAGAAACTTCCAAAGTATGTGTGCACACATTTCCCCCCATCCCCCCAATTAAAACACTGTCAGGTATTCATTTATTTTTTAGGGATCTGGTGAAATAAATCATGCCCTGAACTTTCACATATTTCAAGATTGCACTGGCTTTGTAACATATATCCATCCGTCACTTAGCATATAAATTTTCATAGTAAAAAATACAGTCACTTAATTTGCACAAATATCCAATATATTATTAAAACCTCTTCAAAAACCAGCTTCGTGTTTTTTCCCATGCTACCCTCCCAGATGAAGTTCCTCCCATGTCTGAGGAAGGAGCAATTGGGAGGAGCCCTAGATGGCTATGTAAGACCTTGCCAAGGGGTGACAAATGGCTCTATGGAGCAGCAGCAGCCATGTTGCAGCAATGAGAAAACAAGCACGAGGACAAAGGCCATAGGGGGGACGGTGGGACAGAAACTGAAAGAGCCCAGTCCTTGAGGAAGGACGCTGTTGAACTGCTCAAGAGACCACGAATTGAACTGACCAGCTCCGTACTTCTTTTGAGTAATAATACATTTGTTTTAACCCTCAAAAACAAAGGAATAAAACTGCCCAGGTTTCTATGTGCCCTGGTAAGGAGGTGCTCCATCAAGATGGCATGTTTTTGGAGGTAATACATGAAAGGGGTTGTCCATTTTTACACTTTCTAAATCTCTTCCTAGCTGGCAGCTACTATATTTGGCTTCCTTAAAATTGTTCCTCTATCCCTGTGTCACTAAGTTGATATGCCTAGTGATCATAAATTGGTATGTGTGATTTTCCTGTACAGATTTTAAACATTGACGGTGTACTATTTAACATCATTTTACATTGCATTCAAGACACTTCAGATGCCAAATATGTAAAAACAGGCAAACACACACACACACATACACACACACAGTTCCCCATAAAATATTTAACTCAACATGTCCCCAAAGCCATCCAGCTAAGACAGTAATCTGAAGGATGTTAGAGAAAATGAGGGTTGGATGGGTGCAGCACAGACTAGGAGCAGAACTCAGCATACACTTAGTTGCAACATCCATAACAAAAGGCAAGTCATCATGCTCCCAGGTGAAGACTTAAAACAAGTAAAGTCTTAAGGAAGAAGATACCACACATTTTATGCCCTTCCTCTTCCCAAGTACCAAACCTCTGAAAAGAACCATAAAGAAATAAAACCGTTATTTAATTTTCAAGCTCCTTTTGCTACAGAATCTAGGAAGCATAAATGTCTACACTCTAGTGCACTCAAAATTATCTGAGCAAAATGAGTATTATTTCTGGGACTTGGGGAGCAATAAACCAATTAAAAGGAGATAAGTCAGGATACTTCTACAAAGCATTAGGCTTGGAAACTTCACAATGACAAGGCACAAACACCCTCTCTAAATGTGTGAAAGAACACACGGGAACACTGGCTCTATGTGTCTTCTGATTCAGAGAACTAGTCAAGCAAGGTTTGCTATGAAAGTACATCCACCCTCCCTCACACATACACTTCAAACACACACCTGCATGCAAATTTGAAACACAGAGCCGTTCCCCCCTCAAAATCAAAACAGAATTCAACAAAAGAGCAAGAATTGGTAAAATACTACTAATTACTTTTTTTTTTCAGGAACGTACAATGTGTAGTGGAAAGAATCTGGGAAATTACTGTGGAAAAAAACAGGAAAAAGAGTTAAACTAAATTCAGGAAATAGAGAAAAACTTATCCATCATACTTCCCCTCCTCCATTCTTTTTTCTGATTTCTGACTTCATATTAAGGATCCAGAATACAGATTATGCCTAATCATAGCAAATATTTCCATAAATAATTACTAGTATATAGGTGAAAGCATTAAGTTTAGTAGTGAAAGTCTTAAAAGGTATACTTATATTGTGTATAGGAAAAAAGTAGTTACTGTCCCAGGCACTTAATTAATTTGGCTGATAAGCTTAAGTCACATGCAAAACAGCTCTACAACAAGAGCCAAGATTTATATACTTGAGCACTTTATTTACCCTCAACAACCTTCTAAGATAGGTACTATTATTATCCTTATTTTAAAGATGGAGAAATGAAGGAATAAAAATTAAGTAAAATACACAATTAAAAAGCTAAGATTAGCAGTACAGCTAGAAATCATATCCAATTCCAAAACCCAAACTTTTAACCCCAGCGTTAACTTGCTTTGCTAAGAGTTCCCAGAAACTGGTTTTGCACATCATGTGTGCTAATACCCCCACTTGAGCATTTACATGTTATATTACACTCCAAATAACCCTGAAAGGTGAGCATTGTTGGGGTTTTGATAGAAAATTAAAGCCACAGGATGTCTAGCATTTTAATCAAATTCCATGGTCTTAGACAATAATCCCTTTTCAAAAAAAAAAATCAAATTACAGTTTTCCTTTACTTAACTACATAAAAATGCTGTTCTTTTCTAGTGTGTTGAACAGTAAAGGAACTTCTGACTACAGGAAACAGTCATGGATTAAAAACTGTTGGGAAATTTCTATGATTCTCTCTGCAGCTAAGGTATATATTTTGTTAACAGCCACATACCATTGCCTGGAGTGTCTCTACTAGTATGTGACTGCACATGTGTCTTTTGCTCAAATGCTATTTACTGCATATAAAGCAGCTTTAAAGCCTTCTCTGAACAGCACAGGTATAAACCCAATCAATCTCTATAGATGACAATATCTTTCATAGGTGTTAATTTTATTATATAACTAGAGGCCCGGTGCATGAAAATTCATGCACTTGGGGGGGTCCCTCGGCCCGGCCTGCGCAGTCCGG